TTCTGTGTATAACCTCCACACATAACATCTCTTTTTATCTACTACTACTTGGCGTTCACTGACTGTAAACTTCTGCGAAGTGTTGTGGTTGTTTGTCCACTTCTAGACTTTGGTCTTGTTCCAGAACTTGAGTTTTGCGTGCTCATCAGTTTGTTGTTGTTGTTGTTATACAGGCTTATTACCTTTCGTCTCAGACAGATACACTCCAAATGTGAAGAAACATCCCTTATTTGTCCTCTTTAATGATATACCTGTTTAAGAGCTGTGGGTATTTTTCATGTCTCTCGCCCCCCCCCCCCCCTTTTTTTTCCGCCTCCCCCACAACGGGGCTCTAGAACTTACATAAAGATATCTGTAAACTGAATTTAAAAACAAAATATCAAAACATGCGCTTTATCTGATGTGGGCTAAATTTGAAGGTTACGATAGTAGGATTAAGGAAGTACAATAAAATATGAAAAAAGCAAGGATATGAGTCACGACAGAAGGGAATGAAGAAATGGGAACACCGCCAGAATTTCCCACGTGTTACAGGGACCTATTCGAAAAGCAAAGACTAGTGACAGTTTGTCCTGCCATACATGTCGTACGAGATTGGCTGTCATCTCTAGAAAACTTAGCCTGAAAATGCAAACAATCGTGAACAAATCTACAGAAGGCGTGATGTGAGTCACTTAAGGATCAGTCCGCCAATATGATATCCCACCCCAAGATGTAAAGTCGTGCATTTTTGGGGTCCCCATGTGGGTTCCTGAGTCCCATTGTGGGGAAAACGAGAATAAACCCACTGCCATCCCAAGAGGCATGTCGTAAGAGTCGACAGAATTGGGGGCTTCCTTTAAAGCCTTAGTACATCTGTTTGAGAGGCAAAGAACCAGCAGTCTACATACAAATAAGCCAGATTTAAAAAATGGATGCACACGCAAAACTTAGGTCGTGGAGCAAAGCCAAAATCCAGAAATAGACGAACAACCAGGTCTTTCTGCAGGAGTTTACAGCCGTCAACAACAACAAAATTACCTATTTAGGAAGTAATGTCGATAAAAATAGATGGGGCAGTTGATACAAATATTCAAATACGAATACACAAGGCAAAAGGAGTATTCACAGAAGTGGGAAATTTCTCATGTCACAATCGTTGCTGTTGTATGGCTCATAACCATAATGAACAACAAAACAATTACTTACAAACTGCAAACATTCATTAATTGGTGCCCAAGGGGAGCTGCGTGGTCTCGAGACATGGTGTCCGCCTCGAGTGCTAGAAGTTACGGGGTTCATTCCCCGGTAAGGGCTGGGATTTTTTTCACGCAGACTTGGACTTCTAGTAATTCACCTGGGTCTCTGGGTAGTCAGATCTGACGCCCGTGTGCATTGTTGCGCTTGTAAAAATTGGCAGCTGGAAATCGAAAACCTTAGCCTAACGGCGCTGCCCGGGCAAAATTTGGAGTTAAAAATCTACCCAAAGTATTTCAGGATCCTCACCGGTGCCACAGAGCACCTCTTCAAACCTCAAACTAACTGGTGTCTGTACAGAACAGAGGTGATTAAATGGTATGATAGAATCACTAATATTGAGCTTCGAGAGACAAGTAAACAAATGCCAGTGAATCAGGAGGTAAAGAAAAGACGCTGGCGTTGGATAGGACACATTACTGCGAACAACTGAGAACAATATAACTAGAATGTCTCTACACTGAAGTCAACAGGCGCAAAGGAATAATGTCAGGCCAAAAACATGCAAGGAAGGAAGCTAGAGAGTGACGTAAAAAAAAAAGAAAAGATTGGGAGGACACGGGATGCGCTACATAAATAAGACAGGACTGAACGACTTGGCGAGAATTGGTTGAGGGCCTATGCTCCATGTGCGAGGATAAAAGCGTGCGTGAGTGTGTGTGTGTGTGTGTGTGTGTGTGTGTGAGAGAGAGACACACACACACACACACACAGAGAGAGAGAGAGAGAGAGGAGAGAGAGAGAGAGAGAGAGAGAGAGAGAGAGATTCGTTGTTAGCGTTGAGTTGAACCAAGAATTGACATCACAGCACTCGGGGCATTCTCGTGCATGCTCCGTCCTCCATCTTCTGCAACCAGCGCCGAGTTCAAACACTGATGGTACCGTTGTTAGCGGCAAAACATAAGAAGAAAGCAGCACCCGAAAAGAATTAAGGACATGAAAAACACAAAAATAGAATTATAGATACGAAGAACGTCATGAGTACAGAAAGAAACACGGCGACACTACCTAGGAAACGAACTTTTTTTTGAAGATACCGATTTACTCATTCAGACAGGTAACTCGGGTAGAAAAAACCCATTGAACTTTCTGTTCAGCTTATCGGTATATGTGTTCCATAACAGATGAATACATAACATTATCTAAGGTAATATAGCACAGCTGTTTGGGTGCAATTGCAGTATTTTGTCTGTGAATGTGAACTGTGTGCAAGGATGAGTTGGACTGTATATAAAATAATCCTGATGTTTAAATGGATTGTGTAGTATTTGTATTAAGAAATAAAAACTACAGTCAGAGGAATGGACGGATGCTCTCCACCCCCCCCCCCACTTCAAACGTTCTCTATACCGCTCACACACATACATACACGCACACACACGCACATACATACATACATAAATAAGCGCACTTTCAAAGTTTAAGGTACGAGATTAGCCTCTACATAGAGATGTGAGTCGTGGACTATTTCCCAGTCCTTAAGAAACAGAATAGTGGCTTTTGAGCTGAAATGCTATAGAAAGATTCTCAGAATATCTTGGACGAAAAAGGGGAGAAATACTGACATCTTGAAAGATCATCAACATCAAGGAAGATTGGCTAAGAAACAGCATCCTGTCTCGGAAGCTGAATATTTTGGTCATATCAAGCGCCACGACGAATTGAAAAAAAAAAATTTATAGCAGAGGGCATGGTACCAAGAAGGAGTTGCAGGGGCCGACCAACACGAAGATGGGCACAGGATATAAGTGACTCCTTGAGTATGAAAGTGCATGAGGCGGGAGAGCTGGCTAGAGACCGATTTTCTTTCAGGCAGACAGATGAGAGCGACGTTCTGCAAAGGACCTGCTGCATGATGATGACGATGATTAACCTCTAACGCTGTCTGTCTTGAAGTGTGGCCCGTTTGTTAAGTCTAGCTTAGCTTGCCTAACCTTTCAAAGAATCAAACAAATACAAATCCCTGAATCCCTGTTCAACCCTATCGCCATAAAGCATAGTTATAAAAGTAGAGTAAAGGTCCATTTTCCACGCCATTGGGCATGAAGGACTAGACCTATTTTTTATAGACCAATCGGCATTTAGTAAGTGATGTGGTCACTGGCCGTCTTTACTTCCCAGGACTGCACCTCATACCCAATTAGGCAATTAGGCTAGGTATGTGGTCAAGGGAGCCAAGGTCATTTCTGAAAAAAAGTCTAGCTAAGTCAGGATCCAAACCCACGACCTTCCGAACGGCAGGCCAGCGTCTAGCTGCTATACCACGGCGACTCCTCACAGTTATAATAGTGAAAGAAAGAAAAAACACCTACTGGTTAATGAAGTGACCTGTCAATCTATCAAGTGCCGTCTCTACAGTGAATGTTGGCTGCAATGGATCGCCAACCCGCTCTGTCTCTTGTCCTGGTTGTACACTTTCTCAGATATCATGGAAGACATTAGAACCTCACCGATCATCACCCTAACGTTAGCAATGGAATCACAACGAAAGGGACCTGTAGTCCAGTGAGAGATTGTTGTGTATGTGGGTGGGTTGTTTATGTGGGTGGGTTGTGTATGTGGGTGGGTTGTGTATGTCATGGCTGGCGACTGGTTACTTCCTGTGGGATGTATTAGGGTCCCCATCTTTTATACTGGATCTACAATGGATTGATCGATTGGTTAGAATGCTATATTTTATGAAAGATACATGGTTCGAATCTTCGGTAAGCTAATGGTAGTTTTTTTTTTTTTTTTTGTTTAGGACAGCAATAACAACAGCAAAAATCCAAGCAGTCTGTGACAACTGCGCTAGCGAAGCGGCGCTAAATCCTTTTGACCTTTCCTGAGCTAAAATCTTAGGACCATTTCTCCTCAATTTGTCTACACTGCCCTAAATCCTAAAAAAAAACGCAACTACATGCAGTAAATGGAGTATCCATGAACGTTTGTATCGTCTTATGCTACGAGTGTTCCGTACAGTTTGCACATGGCTTTATTCAGGACGTCACCTTTGTATTCAAAGTGTCAAATATGTCGTTTATTTGCCAAATATTGCAACTCATGTAATCGCTTAGACCAAATCTGCAAACCAAATGTGAGGTGTGCTAGCAAAAGGAACAGTCGGAAAAGCGGTCAAAATAGAAAATAAACTCGAAGTTTTCGATACATTTCCTGGATGAGAATCTGAGTGGTCGGAAATGTAAATTTGAATAAAGAAGGACTGTATTACATTTTAAAGCCAGAAAATCAGTCTAATGTTGTTGCTGCAGATGTAACCCGCATCCATTCATATCTGTGACTAAAAAATCACGTCATCCCCACGTGGAATGCAATTTATAGCTATTTTAAAGCCCCACCCTGACTTTTGCTGAGGGTCCTAAATATAACAGGGCCTGAAATATGGCCAAGCCGCTGAACGGGGTTTCTGGGACTTCTCCACGGGTGATCCTCATTTGCATGGTGGCACTTTGTGTCATCGGGTGTTCATCGCTTGTGTAATGTCCTAGTGGAGTACAACTTACAGACAGACAGACAGACAGACACAGACAGACAGACAGACAGACAGACAGACAGACAGACAGACAGACATCTCTGTGACTCGCCTTATATTATATTTTTCCCGTCCCCAGGGATTGAAAGTAATAATAGAAAAACTAATACTAATGATCGAATTTGTTTCTAGATATTTCGTGACTGCCCAAATGCAGACATTCATATTTTCAGCAAAAACAAAGCAATTTGTTAATATCACATGAAACGCAATTCACTATTCTGATCTCCAGATGCACCGCGTTTTATCAGCTTGTAAAGGCCTTAGCGTGCATGGATTTGTTTGGGATTGTTGCTTCGTCTCCAGTGACTATTATCGTGTACTTGAAGCACGGGCTTCTGATTGAAACGGGTAAGTACGTGAGGTGATCGCGTGTCTATTTCTTTTTCTTCTTCTTCTTCTTCTTCTTTTTCTTCTTTTTCCTCTTCTTTTTTTTTAAGAGTCAATGTTGTGTGGCATTGGTAGTAATGTATATCCACAACCTTCTGTCTCGTGTACTTTCAATCATCCCTGACACAGATGATCTTGCATGTCATGATGCTAAACTGTCCAGCATCTGTTCGCTCGGTCTCCCTCTCCCTCTGCCTCTCCTCCCCTCAAACTTTCCTACCGCCACGATGTACTCCAGTTTTATCCTTCTCATTACCAAAGAATGTAGATTTGTCTGTTTCTGGTGTTGGCAATCTGTTCTCTTCATAAGTCAGTTTCTTTCAAGACGTCTGTGAGTACCATTAATTGGGGTGTTCATGAAGCAATTAAGTACATCAACTCAGCATATGTGTGCGCAAATAATCAGTGTTACAGAAATAGGCAACTACACGAATTGATCATATGTAAGTAAAGGACCCTTTTCCACACCTTTAGGCGTACAGACCAATCGGCACAAGATGGATGATGTGGTCACTATCACGCCGGCCGCCTTTACTTCCCAGGACTGCATCCGGTACCCACACAAGGCTGGGTTGACCTGGGAGTAAAGGTCATTTTTGAAAAAATGTCCGGCTCCGCCAGGGTGAGAACCCAGGACCTTGATCGTATGTGTACGCCATTATTTCTTGCGATAATAACTAAATAAGCACACGAGATAACCATACACATGCTTCATTAATAGTAATGTGTTTAGACCAAGTAAGTATATTGGCTGGCTATACATGTGTACTATTAATCATGGTGTTGTTAACGCTGTGATAACTCGGTTTAAGAGAGGCAAACTTCACTAAAAATACAACTAAATAGAAGGGTTAAACGTGTTCAACATGAATGCATACATGCATATACACAGCTGTAAACGAATGAGATTATAGTTATGCAGGTCTCTGTGTGTGTTCCGGGGCCTTGTTTGGGGTAGAACTGACCACCTCCCGCCAACAAGCATCAGTTAAATGGAACTAATTAGGAAAGGCGAGGAGCCAGCATCGAAAAAATAAGCTACATCTGTAAAAGGGACATGCCCACAATACTCAAATTCTGGAACAAGACCAAAGTCCAGTATTGGACGAACAGTCATAACTTTCCTCAGAAATTTACAGGCGGTGAAAGCAAAGAAGAAGAAGTTATTCGAGGATGCCGATATGGCTATTGTAATGGGTTGTTGTGCCACCTTTTAAGGAAAGTCTTGAAATTATAAAAATATTTGAGTGAGGTTTAGGAAATAACGTTGAAAAATAAGTCAATTACAAGTTTCTATAGAGTAAGAAGAAGATTAAGATTCTTCGTAAGAAAATCTTTACAATAAAATAAATGACATGGATAAACAGCAATTTTTGAGATAACAGTGCATAATATGGTTAACCGCTAAATTGTGTAATTTATTTTAAACGGCACCATTGTTGTATTTGTTCTTCATTTTTGTCTGTTGCTATGTAGGCGGAATGATGCTGTGCCATTACTTCTCCTTCATTCTTGTGATGGCGGGAAACGCAACAGTTTTTATAGTTCTGGTCATGGCCGCGGAGAGATACATCATCACCAAATATCCCTTCAAGGTAAAGATCAGTATACATAAGCTATTTTTATTCGTGAAGATACGTCTTTTTGTGAATTGTCAGGGTTCCGTTGAAATAACTGGAAAAGTAATGCCGCATGAGTATGAACACTCATAGGCTGTTTTCCTTCCTAAAGTCTATGCCGTGTGGCATTGGTAGTCATGATATCCCCAACCTTCTATCTCTCGAATACTTTCAATCAACTCTGACACAGATGATCCTCCATGCCATGATGTCAGACTGTCCAGCATCTGTTCTCTCAGCCTCCCTTTGCCTCTCTTCCCCTCCAACTTCCCTACTGTCACGACGTACTCCAGTTTTCTCCTTCTTATCACATGACCAAAGAATGTAGATTGTCCCTTTTTAGATGTTGGTGATCGGTTCTCTTCTTGAGTCAGTTCCTTTTTATTATCTAAACATTTTCATCTTTGTACCGCTAGCAGTCGCATGTAAAAAGATAATTGCTTTCCGAGCTATTGCACTTTCCGTTGCCCGTTGTGCTATAATGTTGTCGAATCTCAAAATATTAGTGACTCCTTCAATCCGTCTTCTTTTTAATCGCCCCCTGTCTCTTGGTGTTTTTACTTTCAAGTTGTACGCTCTTGTTGCTGGTATTACTGGATTCATTCTCATTAAATAACCAAATCATTCTAGTCTTTGCTTTTCAATGAATTTAAACTTGGGCTTTGTTCCAACAGTTCTTGTAATTTCTTCATTTCTCACATGATCACTTCTAGTTTTGTTCACAGCCTTTCTCAAGCATTTCATTTCGCAGGCTGTTAGTTTTCATTCGTGTTCTTTAGTCAGTGTCCAAGTCTGACCTAATACCACAAGGTTGGTATAAAAATTGCACTTAAATTTGTCTTTCTATCTCAAATGGGATAGTCGGATGTTTCAAAATTGGGTCCGTGACATTGACTTGTTGGATTCATGTTTCAATGTCTCTCTCTTTTCTGTCATCAAGTGCAAAGATGCTCCCCAGGTATTTAAAGTGGTTGAATTTATTTTAGACTTTGGTCTTTTATCTTTATCTTGATTGTTTGATGTTCTCTAGACTGTTCTTAACAGATATAAACCAAAGAATATAACGATATATACTGAGCACATCAGGGGAGAAGCGGATAGTGAATGATCAAACAGTCACTGAAATGGACAATAAATTGACTCAAGATATAAGGCCGTCCATGAGAAAACCTAACACGAACATCAGTGATTGAGGTCAAATGTCCTGGATTGACCTCTGTCTGTTATATGGAAAAGGTGCATAGGATAGAAGGGAACAGGGGATCAAACTTCAAGCTGCATGTGACATATAAACCGCACAAAATGATGATGATGCTGATAACACTCATTAAAGTAAAGAAAATAATTAAATGTTAGATGATTCACCTCCACGTGTGGGTTCTGGAGCCCTGTTTTGAGAGCAAAAATAATAGACCCACCATACCTCTAACAAGCATGTTGTAAAATGACACTATTTCGGAGTGTTTTCTTCGAAATTGTAGTGCTTCCGCCTGGAAGTCGAGGAACTAGTAGTTTTTATACAATTAGGTCAGGTCTGTAAAAAAGTATGTGCACGCAAAACTCAACTTCTGGAACAAGACTCATTAGGAGCCTCGCACTATCAGAAACTTCGTAGCTCCAGCGACAACACCAAGAGATCTGTGAAATAAAAATGCATCTTTAATCCAAAGACACAGTCCGTGAAATGAACCCATGATCTTCAGAGCACGAGGTAAAAGGTTTAAAAACTTTGCCACGGTGACCCTAGAGCCCTGAAAAGACAGAAGTAATGTCAATAGGAAAAAAGAAGACAGATCTAAACATAGCAATAGAATACAAAGGCATTAAACAGGCATCTGAGTTTAAATATCTGGGAACTACATTTACCGAAGATGGGAAATTGGATAAAGAAATTGACATTAGATGCAGTAAAGCAAACCAAGTATTGGGACAGCTAGCCCCCCTCTTACAGCATAAGACAATCCCAATCAGCACAAAGAGACATCTTATTCAAAGCATATTTATTCCAACTCTGTGCTAACAGTGCCAGACATGGTCACTCACAACAAACCATAAAAGAAAATTAGTAACCACGGAAATGAGATGTCTGAGAAGGGCTGTAGGAGTGACCATAAGAGATAAGATCAGGAATGAGATCATAAGAGAACAAATCGGCACAGAACCAATTCTGGATTACATACAAAGACAGCAAGTGAAATGGTTTGCCCACTTAGAGAGAATGCCTTGTGACACAATACCATACAAAGCATACATGGAAAGAGAAGAAGGACGTAGAGCACGGGGTAGACCAAGCACAATATGGAAGGATAACATCAGAGAAACTCTACAACAGCACGATGTGCCTATGGGCGAGGCAGCCAGAAGAGCTAGAAACAGAACCTTATATCTCCCTCGACACCCACAGCGGTAAAAGAAAGAAGTGAAGAAGAAGAAGACCCTAGAGCCGCATTGCAACATTCTTTCCCACCCGGCTGATGTGATTGCATATACAGATTGCTCAATGTGGAGGGGCAGAAGAAGTGCATGGGGTTCATAACAAAAGTGAATGAAGGTCGCTTAGTGCACCAAATCCTGGCATATGATACTTAAAAATCTGGTTTGAGAATCGAGGTGGAGACAGTCACTGCAGTCTTCAAAAGCTTGAAAACCAGTCCTACAAACAATTCGTAATTTTTACTGACTTTCAGAGCCTGTGGAGAATGATGAAGACAGGTATGCATCGCAAGCATCACTTCAGAGATCCCGGGTAGTTGGTATCTTTTGGATATTGTCTGCAGGCCAGTGAGTTGGAAAACCAACACGCAGACTGGCTGGTTTTGTAATAGTTTGGGATGAGTGGTTGCGTGACCAGCTAGATAATGTATAAGAGTCCTTTTGGAGAGAGTGAACAGTGAGGGGGCACAAACAGATGGTCTAAGGAGAATGGTACTACGAAGATTAGGCATGGGATCTGGCCGACACTCAACACTCCAGGAAACTTTCTGCTCACTGCTAAAGACGTAGATAGGATGCTTATATGAATGCCTGAGCGCTTAGATGTCAATTCTTAATTTGGGGGAAGGGGGAGGGGGAATCGTCACGTTCAGCCAGCATCTAAGAAGAGGGAGCTTTAGGTTATAATTGTGACTAGCTTATAGTGCCATATAAAATGACTTTATATTGCACGCTATCAATAGCTCTGAAAGTGACTTATGTAGTGTTGCTGCGATCAAAGGAGTCAGACCCAAATACTCTACTGACCGGCGACAAGGTCGTCTAACGGCGAGCCAATGGGCGACCTGGTCGCCGGTGTTGTCCCTCTGCGAGTAGCTTTCCTTGTTTATTTATAGTCCTTGTGACCAGATTAACAATCGTAATGATGTTTTCATTGGTGCCCGATTTATCCATTTAGTATACGGTAGTGGTGAAGCCGTTGACGGTCAACTGCAGTATTCTTCTGGTGTGGGGCCTGTCCACGCTGATTGCCCTGTTGCCGATCTTTGGCATGGGTCGAAATATACAGCCTTGGCCAGGGACATGGTGCTTCTTTGATTACAGAAGTTCAACTCTAGGTATGTTTTGCCAGTGTGCTGTTTGTTCTGTGTGTGTGTCTGCAGTTTGTTCAGTGTGTATCAAGGACGTCGACACAAAGAAAACATTAGAGAAAAGAGGTGGTTCGGCCCCTAGAAAATGTTCCGGGGGGAGGGGGGGGGGGGGGGTTACCTCAAGTGGTTAATAATAATGTTAAGGACCCTTTTCTACGCCGTCAGGCTTATTGGGCATATAGGACTAGACCTTTTTTAAAAGACTAAACGGCACTTAGTGGGTGATGTTGACAGCATCACGCTGGTTGCCTTAACTTCACAGGACCGTAGCAGGTACCCACTCAAGGCTGGGCAACCTGGGAGCCAAGGTCATTTTTGAAAAATGTCAGGCCCCTGACAGGAACCGAACCCACCACCTTCCGATCTGCAGGCGAGCGTCTAGCTGCTAGACCAAGGCGGCTCCCAATAATAATAATAATAATAATAATAATAATAATAATATGTTGAATGGCAAAAAAAAAAAAAAAATAATATATTTAAAATAATTGTAAAAACCCTAAGCAAAGTCTCCGCCATTGCCAGTCCTTTGCACAGTTAAAAAAAAAAGAGGAGGGTTGGTCGTGAGACCAGCTCCTCCACCCTGTAAAAACGTATTTGCTGTAGAAACTTGCAGGATTCAAATTTGTGTGGTGCACAGAGTACATGTATGACAGTTACGAATGAAAAGCCGTTCTGTCGAAGTCATTGACCAGACGTGCACACTATTTGGCTCACAATTACTCACTAGAATATGTTTTTTTTTTTTTTAAATGTTAGGCACTATGGCATAGGCAAGGAAATCCGTCCTAGGTAGCAGAAGAAATGAAGAGATAGCAACTAAAATTTTAGGGTTAACTTAAGTTGGGTGGCCAACAGAAAATAGCAGTTAACGTATTTTCAAACAGCGAGTCAGTCACATTAAAACATTAGGGATGGTAAAATACTTTACATCTGATTCTGAGCAGAAGGAAAGATCGGCTTGACACTTCCAAGAGACATTAAATAATCTAGTCCCGGAGGGAAAAAAAAATTATTCATTTTGAAGAAAAGGCTAAATGACCGTATTACCATTACACATAGAGACAATTAAATGACATGACAATCAGACGCAATCCATTCATTAGCCTACAAAAAGGCAGCAGGAGATGACGAAATTACTACAGGAATGCTTGAGGCACAAAAGATGATGTGACAATAAAATCGAGCGAAAGATTTATTCAGTAAAATATGGGCAGAGGAAAACTCCTAGATAAATGAAAGAAGCAAATAATTGTTAAAATTCCAAAGAAAACTAATCTTACAATAAGATATAAATTACTGTAATTTCATTCTTGACAAAGACTTTTCGTAATAAAATTGTCAGTAGATTTAAAGGGTTAATGGACACTCCCGAAAGAAGAACGATCAGGTCTTCGGCTGGAAGAGTCTGCTTAGATCAAACAATTATTTTGAGACTTTTTTCACAGAATTTTTTTTAAAAACAGCAAACCCCCCCCCCCCCTTTTCCCCCCCCCCCCCCCCCCCCCCCCCCCCCCTTTTCCCCCCAATCCCAACACATTTTGTCTGTTTGGAATTCCATAGACTTTAAGAAGGCTTTCGATAGTTTGCACTTTAACATTATTGTGGGAAATTTTAGAATGCTACGATATGCCATTTAAATTAGGGCTGTACCGAATCGTGATTTTCACTATTCGGCCCAATACGAATAGCGGGACCAACTATTCGGCCGAATACGAATAGTGTAACATCATCATTAGGCACCTTGCCGACGGGCGTGGGCGATTATGCATCTAAAAAAAAATCATTTATAATGACAAATGTACGCTGAAATTTAATTTGACAAACTGTAGTACAGAATAGTAAACATAAACATTTTATGTTTTTACATCCTTCAGTCAGTCCTGTGGAAACTAATACCTAGGAATGTTAGCATTCCTAGTTTTATAACAAGTAACTAAACTTGTAAATTGTCACTGACAGCTTAGTTAATGCATGAAAGCGGCATTAGCTTTTAACAAAACCATTTGTTCCATGTTGTCAGCATTAAGGCAGCTTCTTGTCTCACTGAAGGTATTTCCAGCTGTACTAAAAAGACGTTCACTTGGTACGCCCGTAGGTGGTGCACAAAGATAAGGCGTGACAGTATGAACCAAGGTGGTAAATCTTTACATGTTTATTTTCCACCAGTCCAGTGGGTCAGTGTCTCTTGGGATACACGGCTCTGACAGCTGGTTATTCACTTCTGTTTCAATGGTAACTCGAATTTCGCTATTCTGTACCTTATGTACCTATTGTGTTAATGAGAGAGTTATTTCAGTCCATCGCAGTGTATGCAAAACGGGTGTAAGGTAACCGCTATTCGTGTTCGTCCCGACCTCAACTATTCGGCCGAATACCGAATAGTTATTAGGTTCACTATTCGGCCCCGAAGCGAATACGAAGCGAATATTCGGTACAGCCCTAATTAAAAAATCATACATATTAATGAAGCAGTGTATGAAAGCTCAGAGTGAGCAGTAATAAGGGGTGATGGTTTCAATCAATGATCATTCCCATTCTCATCCCCTCGTGGGAGTACATTTTACCCCAGTAGGACATCACACAAGTGATAAATCACCCGATGACACGAAGTGCCACCATGTGGATAAGGATCACCCTTGGAGAGGTCCCGGAAACCGCGTTCAGTCATTATGCCATATTGATGGTCGGACTATACTGCGGTCCTCGGCAAGAGCCAAGGTGGGGCTTCAAAATAACGAAAAATTTGCATCCCACAAGAAGATGACTAGTTAATTGCATGCCTAAGAGAAACAGATAATTCTACAAACATGGTATCAAAAGTTGGACCACAAATAAGTGAGGAAAAGACAAATTTATTGAAAACGCCAGTAACAAACTTATCAGATGTAGCACTAGAGAGACGAAAAGAATTAAAGTAACAGATCACATTTCTTATTTAGACAGTAATTTGATAGTCTAAGAAACAAAAAGAAAAAAAATTTTGACACGCATTGACAGCGCATCAGCAGATTTAAAAAAAAAAATGAGAAAAAAAAATATGGAACTGTAAATTGAATGGATTTAGAACCATGTGACTTATTTTCAGTGATAATGTGTCTTCAGTTTTAACACAGGTCAGTGAAAGTCAGACAACCACTAAATGACTGACCGACTTTCTACCCTACCAGGACATCACACAAGCGATAAACACCCGAAGACACAAAGTGCCACCATGCGGGTGAGGATCGCCGTGGAGAGGTCCCAGAAACCGCGTTCAGACAATTGGCCATATCTATGGCCTGCCTATATTGCGGCCCCTGGCAAAAGCCAGAGTGGGGCTTCAAATAACAAAAATGTTCGTCCTAAAAAGGACGAAAGCAGATATGTATACCACTAAATATATCGAGTGAAAGTTAAATACATTTGAAAACAAAAGCCTAAGGAAAAGGATGAACATAAAACATGATTAATTCAAGAGGAATAAAGAAATAAGAGATAAAGCGGTTCTCAAGAGACTTTACAGACTGACACTGAGGTGACTAGACTTGATGGCCGTAACCTCCATGTCGAATACACCTTTGTAACCCTGAAAGATAGTGACATCTAGTGTTCTAAGCAATCGTATTAACTAGACCCACATTTAGGGATTGTCTAAATTACCTCCCCTTGACTGTATGTGTAATTATTAGACTATTAAGATGTTTTGATATGCAGTCTCACCTTCATAACGTTAACACACATTTATCCACCAGAAAAATAAATAGCAACTAATTCCAGACTGAAAATGTTTCAATCTTTCTTTCATGCAGATGGACAAATATTCAGCTACTTTTACGCCATAGCCGGATTGCTAGCAATACTCATAACAATGGTTCTCAATCTGTCAGTCATAAGACATCTATGGCGAATGCGTCGGAGCAGATTGAGCGCCTCGTCTATTCGATCAGACCAGTTTTCTCCAAAACATAACAACAGAGGACCAGACAGCGAGAAGAAAATGGTTATTTTCCTCATGGCAATAACCGTGGTTTTCACCGTGTGTTATGCACCTTTGATGGTAAGGTTATCTATTTCTTATATTTGGGGAGTAGGGATAAGAGAAGTGTCCAGACAACCGTTGGTATCAACAGTCAAAAAACAAAGAAGATGACGATATATTCAGCACAACCTGTGGAGAAGCGAGCAGGGAATAACAAAACAAGCTCTTAAATTAGAAATAAACAAGCTGGTTGAAACAAAGACGTTTAATAAATGGGCTGGTGAAAACGAAGACGTTTAATAAAAGGGCTGTTGGAAGCGAAGACGTTTAATAAATAGGCTGGTGGAAACGAAAACGTTTAATAAATGGGCTGGTGGAAACAAGGACGTTTAATAAATAGGCTGGTAAAAACGAAGACGTTTAATAAATGGGCTGGTGGAAACGAAGACGTTTAATAAATGGGCTGGTGGAAACGAAGACGTTTAATAAATGGGCTGGTGGAAATGAAGACGTTTAATAAATGGGCTGGTGGAAACGAAGACGTTTAATAAATGGGCTGGTGGAAACGAAGACGTTTAATAGATAGGCTGGTGGAAACGAAGACGTTTAATAAACGGGCTGGTGGAAACGAGCACGTTTAATAAATGGGCTGGTGGAAATGAAGACGTTTAATAAATGAGCTGGTGGAAACGAAGACGTTTAAAAAATGGGCTGAGGGAAACGAAGACGTTTAATAAATGGGCTGGTGGAAACGAAGACGTTTAAAAAATGGGCTGGTGGAAAAAGAGATGTTAAATAACTGGGCTGATGGAAACGAAGACTTTAAAAAAAAACGGCTGCTGGAAAAGAAGACGTTTAATAATTGGGCTGGTGAAAACGAAGATGTTTAATAAATGGGCTGGTGGAAACGAAGATGTTTAATAAATGGGCTGGTGGAAACGAAGACGTTTAATAAATAGGTTGGTGGAAACGAAGACGTAAAAAAAAAAAAACACGTGATTAGATAGGCCAAAGTTGCTGGATTTCATATTTCCGTATTTATAATATTGAAACATCTGTCCCGGCTAGAACGGAATGCACGAATAAAGTGCGCGCCCTATGAGATGTATAAATAACATAACATGATGATGATGGTGATTATATCGAAAAAAGGAGGGGGAACGGTCTGTGCATGTTGGGGAGGGGGCGGTGTGAGTGGGGAGAGGGGGGGGGGGTTGGCGAAGGTATTAAGCGGTTTGTAAAATTACAGAACGCATCAAACTTTCACGAAAGCCGTTATTGAATAGTCCACATGTGCAAGAAATGCAAGAAGTAATCTGATTGGCTGGTATGAAGACCAGCCATCCAATTTCAAGGCTTATATTACGAGGCGGACAGATCGGGCCAGCCGTCTTTTTGGCTATTTTGCTGTTGGGTCGATAGATCGGCCCAGTCGTCTCTAAAGGGTTACATCATCTGACCCCCCCCCCCCTAAAAAAAGAAAGAAATTACACACTCTCATATACACACATTTAAATATACGCACACTTAAACCATAGCACACTCTTACATTTGAATACACGCTAAAATATGAAAACAGATACACGTTCACATACTGCATGCATGTATACTCACAATACACACACTCACATTCTTAGCAAAACATATTTACTCTCGCATGCTCACACGTAAACCTCCTTGCCCCCCCCCCCCCCCACTCCTTTCCACACACCCATACGTAAACAGGCACAGGGTTTGGAAATTTCTTGTTGTTTGTTACTTCTTGTCCGTATCAACATTCTAGCACATCGACCCGACCTATTTTTGCTCCTTCCTCCGATGCAGTAGCCATCTCAGTCTCAATGCCATATGTTTTGTCGGTGAAAGTAACGTTGATCTCTCCACGCCCCGCCCATATACATACTAGGTCACTTCTGATTAGTAGTTCCTGGACCTGTCACCTTGCCACAAGGTTACGGGGGTGTTTTGTGATGCCGCTGATATCGCGTGTTGTATATTTTAGCACGCCAGTGCTTTAACGCTCCAAAAACACGGAGCAGCCGTCCCTACCACAGTCCTCTAGAGCGTGCTGCAACCTATGTCACAGACATTCTCTTTCTCAGAATTAAAACGTAAATGCAAGACAACACAGGAAGCAAACAATAGAGCGGGACACACCTGTAACCGCCAGGAAAGTCGACCAGCCAAACAAACTTATGAATGAAAAGTGACCTAATCTATTTGAGGAAATTTGCGTTATGTTAACCCTTCGGTCTTTATCCCGCTACAAGTTTCTGTACACTTGCCCTCGTTTAATACCCATTTCCAACAGGCAGTTCATTGTTACGAAATTTCTTATTAAAAATATTACTCTCTATTATAGGTCCGCATAATAATGAACCAAATAGCCAACGTTGATGTAGATCTGAAGAAAGAAAGCCTGGACAATACCATTGACCTATGGGCACTTCGCCTCGCCAGTTTCAACCAGATCTTTGATCCGTGGGTGTACATTATCAGTAGGGTCACGTGCTGCCCAGCTTCCAATGGCAGGTAACTACACTGTTGTCAATCTTTTAACCTCATTTTGCAGCCCATCCTTAATTGTTGGCAATTTATGTCGCTTTGTAGAATGAGATTTTTAATTTCTCTTTATCTTTTATTTCGCATTCATGTTGCTTTGTAGTATTAAAGAGCAGATATTAACACTAAACACACAATTTAGGAACAGCGGATGCCAGATCACCATGGCATGGGTTCCAAAACATAAAGGCATAACCAGAATGAAAAGGTGGATATTTTTGCAAAAAGAGGCATCAGCAGCCATAATAAAATAGAAATATTCATAGAAAAAACTGAGGGAAAGAGTCAAATCAAACAGTATTTTACATGAATGTGAAAGAGACCGCGGGAAATGAGTGCTAGCGGCAGAAGAGCATGCGAATATTTAAGGGAACCTGATATCACAAGTCTCAGACAACCTACAAATTCCAGCAAATAACAAATTATGGAGATTGAGACTTGGATACTGGAAAGCCAAATTTACAGTACCCTTATGCCTAGATTGCTTTCAGGATATCACAGACCACTTCCTGCTCTCATGCACCCTATATAAACAGGAAAGAAAACCCCTGAAAGATTATTTTCAAAAACTAAACAAGTCATTGACATCCAAGGAATGCTTATATGTTGATAGTAATGAGAACATTTCAGATAGGGCAGAGGAACTAGGGATCACATCTTTAATATGATAATAATTTTTGAAAAATGCAGAGAATACAACGTAGATCTTCATGCTTGTTTTATAGATTATAGCAAGGCATATGATTGTGTACAACGCCACAAACTGTGGACTGTTATGAAAAGTATGGGGTTTCCAGCGCATTTAGTGCATTCAATTGAAAATCTTTATCACGAACAACAAGCAGCCATCAGAGCAGCTGGTGAAACATCTGATTGGTTCGAGGTGCAAAAGGGGATGAGGCAGGGGTGCATTCTCTCACCATACCTATTCAATATATGCGCAGAAAATATAATGAGACATGTGTGACGAGCGTAAGCTTGGCCTACAGTGTGACGTGCTGTAAAGGCTGCGTGGTAATGTGCGGCGTACCAAAGTGACTAGGGGCGTCGCAATGTAACAAATGGCATCAACACTTAACATGCCACTGGCCAAGTGTAACACAACGTGATGAATGTTGAAGCTTCCAAACGTAGTGGAACGAGAACTCTTTTAAAGGTTCCATTTGTGTATTGACAATAGCAATGATCAACACAAGGAGAAAATATGCAATTAATAATCCAGACTCATTCAAGCACACCAACAAAAGCCCGCTCGTACATCCATGGACTGATATGTCCTCACGATAGGTCGCAGTCCGACCTTGGGATCCAGACAGTCATCTTTGTCTTCGGTTCCGCAGTCTGAATTAAGTAATGAAAGTATACCGGCTTACTGCCGAACTGTGACAATATACCAGCTTTCTGCTGAGGTCTACAGTGGAGTCCCGGGGTAAAACGTCCTCAAGGATTCAACTGTATACAACGTCTGCTTCCGTGGAATCCCGGGGTAAAGTGTCCTCAAGGATCCACACGTCCGTCTCCTTCGGACTGTAAACATCAACTCTTACCATGGCATCCCGGGGTAAAGCATCCTCAAGGATCCAACTTGATTATCATTCTTTCAGTTGCATCCCGGGGTAAAGCATCATCAAGGATCCAACTGATTAACATTCCTTCCATGGCATCCCGGGGTAAAGCATCCTCAAGGATACACACCAAGGCCAGACCAAACGTCCGCCTTGGTCAAACTTCGACTTTCATCTCCTCGAATACAATCTCTTCACAACCTGACGTATTGTTTTGACGTCTTATTTGCTCACTCAGTACTGGTGCGTTCTAGTGCACATCCGCACGCGACAACATGTGACAGTTATGAACCGCTCAAAATTGGTGGCAACCTTTTTTCGGAACTCCGCTACGCAGATGACACAGTCCTCCTTTCGAACAGCGTAAAGGGAATAGCAAATTTAATATTGGCTGTCCAAAAGCACAGTGAAGATCAAAATCTGTTCTTGAATTTAAAGAAAACGAAAATGCTGTCCACAGATAAAACTGGCTGTCACCCAAAAATAACAATAAATGATAAAGACATTGAAAATGTCACAAACTTTGAATATCTAGGCTCTATAATAAAAAACAATGGAGACTGTTCAACAGAAATTAAACGGAAGATGGCCATAGCAATGCAAAGATTGAATAGCCTTAAAAGTCTATGGTTAATCACCAGCAAGGAGATAAAAATACAATTTTGAGAGCATGCATCTTCCCTGTGGCTACATACGGATGTGAGTCGTGGACTATTTCTCTGTCCTTAAGAAAGAGAATTGGTGCTTTTGAGCTGAAATGCTATAGAGAGATTCTCAGAATATCTTGGACAAAGAAGATGAGAAATATTGACATCTTAAAAGATCTGAACATCAAGGAAGATTAGCTAATAAACAGCATCCTTTCTCGAGAGCTGAAATATTTTGGACATATCAAGCGCCATGTCGGATTGGAAAAAATTATAGCAGAAGGCATGGTACCAGGAAGGAGGGGCAGGGGCCGACCGACACGAAGATGGGCACAGGATATAAGTGACCCCTTGAGTATGAAAGTACATGAGAGCGACGTTCTGCAAAGGACCTGCTACATGATGATGATGAATGAGATCATACAGAAGCAAAGTAAGAAATTTCTTTGCAGGACACGTAGAAATATATAAGTCTTTACAGATAAAGATGTGATAAGACAGAGACGGTGAGTTGAGAAAAAAGAACTGAGGAAGGTAAGAAATAAAAGAGAAGGAATTAAATTGTGTGAAACAACCTAAACTGACCAAGACTGCCTAACTATCCCCTTATAGTATTGGAAATTAGGAAAGTGTCACATATACAAGCCTAAGACCCACGCTAGTAACCAAGGTGCAAATTATACTTCTTCTTCTTCTTCTTCTCTGCTTCTTCTTCTTCTCTTCCACCTTGTACCTCATCGAAGTATCTGGAGGAGATGTAGCATTCGTTGATGAGCTCTGTCAAGAGCAGTATTAAGACTGATGTTCATTTCTGTAAGGCTGTTCTTAATGCCATCACTCCATCTGTTACGAGGTCTTCTACTCGCTCTATACCCGTTGTAACGTTTTAGTGTGGCTCGCTGTGGCAGATAGTTCTAGGGCATTCTTGTAAGGTGTCCAAACCACTTCATTTGTTTTTCTTTGATGACTTGTAAGAATGGCTGTCTTCCTAGCATTGGTTTAGGGGAAGAGAAAATGTTACTTAACTGGCAAAAATACGGGTCAGGCCTATATCATATACAACACTAGTACCCATTTAAGGTGCTAGTTAAAAAAAAAAATCCTACATATATGTGTGTATGTGTGTGTGTCTGTCTGTATGTATGTATGTATGTATGTATGTATGTATGTATGTATGTATGTATGTATGTATGTATGTATGTATGTATGTATGTATGTATGTATGTATGTATGTATGTATGTATGTATGTATGTATGTATGTATGTATGTATGTATGTATGTATGTATGTATGTATGTATGTATGTATGTATGTATGTATGTATGTATGTATGTATGTATGTATGTATGTATGTATGTATGTATGTATGTATGTATGTATGTATGTATGTATGTATGTATGTATGTATGTATGTATGTATGTATGTATGTATGTATGTATGTATGTATGTATGTATGTATGTATGTATGTATGTATGTATGTATGTATGTATGTATGTATGTATGTATGTATGTATGTATGTGTGTGTGTGTGTGTGTGTGTGTGTGTGTGTAAAATAATAGTTAACTAACAGTGTTAGATCTGTTATAGGAACAGTCAGCACATGTAATATTCAAACTAAATGTTTTTAAAAACAGATAAAGTTAAAAAAAAAAATTTGTAAATAATGGATTATCTAACTAAGGTTACTCAGGGTCCGAAATTTTGAAAAAATAGGGATCGTCCAGAGATCTGATCACCAGCGTAGATCAATAAGAAAAACTCCACAGGGGAGCATGTACAGCAGGAGTCTACCTATCGCCAGAAGAAGATCCCTCGTCAACAATTGTTTCGACCCACGAACTCATAGACAATTTCAGGGGTAGGCAGAAGTATACAGTCAAAGGGTAAATGATCGGCGAGCCACTTGCTGGGCCTCAGGGGTTTGATCTGGCTCGATGATCACCTACTGAATAGCCCTGTATTTGTGGTGTCCTTTCTACGGGATAGGAATGTGGCCTGTTCGTTTTCATGCTTGGTGACCTGAAGCTGCAATAAAAGTTACATGTTTAGTTAACAATAATCATCATGAAGGAGACAGTTCTAACGCAGTTAAAACTTTAATGCGTCTTACAGCAGAATGAGGTATCTAGGACTTAACCTGGCCGATTATAATCGAGTAATGAGGCATTGCTTGACAGCTTCGCCACGGAGACCCTCCAGTATACTAGAATTAAAGTCATAGTTTTGTTTCTGGGAGGAAAACATTCGCCGGTACTCACAATAAAGTTAGTTGCGCGTTTCCTTTACAGGACGTTGCAGAACCAACCCCTGCATTTTTTGGCTGTTGTGGTTTTCCTAGGCAAGTTTACGTCTAGTAGTTTGCTATTGCTTCCTGGACGGTCGGGTTTTCGATACCGCAGTCGAAACCAATCCAAGGCGCAAAGGCTAGCAGCTGGGATCGAACCCGGCACCACAGCATTACAAAGCGCATTCGTAACGCCTAAGCCACAGACGCCTACTACTCACAATAAAGGGTCTTTAAAAAAAGGTGCTAGTATTCACCACTAAGCGTCTATTTGCTGTACAAATTGATGCTTTGATAGGGTTCCGGAATTGTTTAATGCTAGAAAACCACTGATATAATTGTTTTTATGTCTTATCTACAGAAACAACGTCCTGAGCCAATCCACAAGATCTTACAACGCCGCCAGCGCGGTATTCAACATGGACAAACAACATCTTCAGCACCATCAAGAGGTCGGAAACAAAGAAAACCCCAT